ATTTTATTTTATATTATAAACATAAGGATAATAATAAATGGGAAAGTTTGAAGGGGACAGTATGAATGTGTTTCTGTATCTGTAGAGTATGTAGAGATGATGTGATAATCAAGTGAATAATTGACAACTGGCAAGTTAACAGGTTTTAATGAACAGAGTAAAAAATGAGGTTTAGAAAAATTAAATTTAAGGTTAGACAGATACATTTTTGGGTTCAAACTCAGGCCTGCTTTCTTGGTGAGGGTGTGTGTGTGTGAAGGGGCGGGGAATAATACCAGAAGTAAAGAAATGAACATGGGAGATAAAACAATGCATTTAGAGGAAGCAGAAGCAAAAATAGTGTATCGGAGAGTTTTAAAGACTATGGGAGGAGTGTTTTAAAGTGGGAACATTGGTTTTCAATGTGGAACGGAGATCAAGTAAAGTGAGGAGTAAGGGAAGAAAGAGGGAAACAGAAAATGAAGGAAAATAAAAGAGCAAAAGGAGTGGCTACAGAATAGTAAGGTACAAGAGAAAGCCGCAAAGATGATTGTTCCACAGATTAATGTCTTCAGTTCAATATCACCGCACCGTCTGCAAAACTCCATTGCTGCATCCAACAATTACCTTAAATCCCTGTCTATTGTTGATGTTTGTTGAAATTCTCTCTTCTCTTATATTTCTGATTTTCCTCCTGCTTCTCTGATATTTCCTTTTAAGTGGACTTCGCATAGTCTTATTTGCCCCATGGCTGAAATGCCGTCGTTTCTTATATCTTCAGCTCTTCCCATCCTGTAACCTTTCCTGAATAATCTGATTCCTGCTATAATTTCGGTGGCACCATTTACATACTGATGAATTGCAGATAGATATTTCTGGCCACAGTCTCTCCCTTAAGTTTGAGGCCATCTACCCAAGTGCTTTCTGGACCTCACTCCTTAGATTTCCCTTAGGCACGTAAAATTCGTTATTTTCACTCCTCTTTGCCAGCCCCAGTACTGTTCACGTCCTCAAAGACTTGTCTCTCCTGCATTTTCTCTAATTGCTTGGTGATACCCCTGTCTCCCTATTTCTCCAAGTGGGACAACTGAGCATCATTCTCAACCCCCCTTTCTCTCTTAACTTATATGCAGAATTCATTATCAAATCTTACTCCATTCTAACTCCCAAGTAACTTTGCTGTCACCCTTTCTCTCTGTCCTTGTTGCTATGGCCTCAGATTTGGAACCCCTGTCTTAGACTATTGCAGGGGTTCTTTGACTGGTTGCTCTGGTTCTCAGATTAACTCACTCCAAATTACATGAAAACTTCTTTAAGAATATTCTTTCTAGGCTGGGCACAGTGGCTCAAGCCTGTAATCCCAGCACTTTGGGAGGTCGAGGTGGGAGGAATGCTTGACACCAGGAATTTGAGACCAGCCTGAGCAACATAGTGAGGCCCTGTCTCTACAAAAAATGAAAAATTAGCTGGGTATGTTAACATGTGTCTGTAGTCCCAGCTACTCAGGTGGCTGAGGCAGGAGGATCAATTGAATCTAGGAGTTTGAGATTATAGTGAACTACCACACCCTGTTACACTCTAACCTGGGTAACAGAGAAAGACCCTGTTTCTACCCTCATAAAGGATATTCTTTCTGAAATTCAAATGTTCTAATTTTGTACTTCCCTTATGACTTCCATAAAACCTTTCCTTATTA